AGTAGACGCAGACGGTTGCCAGAATGCCCCAGTGGTGGAGAGAATGTCTCGACCAACTCCCAGCACGTTGCTTGCCCATTTTCTTTGCTGATTTGAACGATGGGCTTGGCTGTCGTCGCATCGATGGGGAAGTGGGAGGAGCACGGCAGCAGTGCGGTGGGTCAGACACGCACGAGGGAGAGGCGGGGGCAGGGAGCAAAGGAGTCAGTGGCACATTTGTTAGAGCAGCACCGTTTGCTTGCGGCGAATACTCTGGGCCCTCCCGATCCAACTTTTTACGGTGACGGACCTGAAGGGCCCTCGAGCTTGATTGACTTCCTGTTTATCCCGCAGGGGTGGGGCATTCACCTGGCTCGATGTCGTACTTTACGAAGGATTGGCGCGCAACTACAAGCCCAGAGCGGGCGCCCCCCCCGTGATCATGTCCCCCTATACCTGGAACTACATCATCCTAAAGGACCCCAGGAATGTGTCCCTGTCCAGCGGGCCCGCTGGAATACTTCTTCTCTTCTGCTTGCCGTCCGCTCTGGGTCCCAGCGTATCGCCTTTGTGGAGGGAATGGGGCAGTGGATACGGGGGCGGGAGGAGGATAGGATACGGGTTCATGGCCAGGACGCTCCAGACCGCTTTCTTGAATTTTTAGAACAGGGATTGGTGGAGGTGGGGTCGGAACTATTTTGCGAAGATACGGATATGCCGCACGATTATTCTCATTGGGCCGCATTGCGCCGTGAGCATTTGAAGGAGCGCGTTGAGTTGCGCGCTTCTCGCATGCAAGCCACGGATTTGCCAGCTGTCGAAGAGGAGCTTCGAGATGTATCGCAGAGGATGCGTTTGCTTAGACAACGTCACATGAGGGCGGAGAGGGCTTCCTTTGTTCGGGCTTCCAGTGAGGCATGGGCTAGAATAAATATCTCGGAGGCGATGGGGTGGGCGAGGAGGGCGGCTCGTTGTAGGTTTTCTTCAAAACAACGTGATGGGCGACGCTTTGGAGCTACCCCGATCTCTCGTCAGGAGTGGTTGGATGTGTGGCAGTTACCTGGAGGGGAGGGGGGCATGAAAGTTATCCCTATTGATTTGAAGCAGTGGCGAAACCAGAAGGACGACCTTGATCTTGCCCAGATCTACGACATCGCCCATTACGATCCTCGCTTCAGGGAACTAGCTTTGGAGGACATCAAACGCCTCCGAAAGTATGCGCGCAAAGCTTCCAAGAGACGGGTCGTCCCAGATGGCACCGCCCCGCTGGAGCTCTGGTGGCAGATGTTGCGCCCCGACGTGGGCCTGGAGGGTCTACGCGCTGGCCTCGGCGCTCAGCGTGCACCGGTGGGGCCGACTCTCTTTTTCGAGGTGCTACTGGACGCCTTCATGAAAGTGCGAATCACAGACATGGCCCCTCTTTACTGGAGTATTAGTCGGGGTTGCGCTCGTCGGCCCAACCTGGGCCTCGTGGGAAACGTGTGGTCCGCGTTCCCCCCGTCGTGGGCAAAGCCTTCTTCGCCGATCTCCTCCCCGGCGAGCTCCCCCCCGAGGACTATGGGTTCCAGAGGCACCGTCGTAGGGGAGGGGCTGTCTTGGCATCTCAGGTGGTTGGGTGGAGATTGCGACAGGCGGGATGGAGCTTCGGGGCTAGCCTCAAGGATATGAGTAACGCGTTTGGTAGCACTTCTTGGACGGCCATGGATACGAGTATGGCCTTACATGTTTCTGATGAGAATTTACTGTTGTGTAAAAAACGATATCGTGATGCCGTGGTTTTACTACCTAGTGATGAGGGGGATGTGGCGGTCAAGACCAGGGTGGGAGGAGTGATAGGTGATCCGTTCATGGTGGCAGCGTTCTCTACTACGTTTCAGCGTCCAGTGCAGCAATGGGCGGAATCGCTCTGTGTTGCTGACCCGTCTTTGCACCTTTTACGCGCTGAGTGGCAAGGACAGGAAGTTGATCTTAGCCTATTTAAGTATGCGGACGACCTTTATCGCTACCCCCTGATCGCTCAGGGCGACCTCATGGGCTCCTTCCTCGCCAAGTTGCGCGAGGCAGACGATTTGCTAGACTTTCACCTCCAGGAATGTGGGTGCCAACAGAACCGGGGGAAACAAGAGCTGGCAGTCTGGCTTGAAGGGGAGGGGGCCATGGCTTGTCGTCGCTGGCTTCGTGGGCCTGGGCGGGCTCTCATCTCTGGGGTTCTGAAGGAGGAGGTGCGGCACCTGGGGCCCCGCGTCGCTATGTCCCAGGCTTCGAGCCAGGAGGTGATCAGACGACGCCAGGCTGCGCGCTCGGCCTTCTACTCCCTGGGCGGTTTCTGGACGTTATCCCTCCCTTGGAAATTTACTCGGGCGATCTTCTTATCCCTTGTGCAGAATTCGGCTCCATGTGGAATGGGGGCGTTCTTGCTCGCGAAGCAGCAGCGCGCCCGCCTGGATGCCACTATCGCTCATTTCGCCCGTGTTTGCATGCGAGGGCGTGCAAGATGGACTACTTCAACTGGCGCAGTCAGGGCAATGTCCAATCAGGCCGTGCTAAAACACTGGCGTATTTGTGAGACCTCGGTGGAGCTGGGCATTCGTCGACTTAACTGGTATAGGTCTTGGGCTGCCCACCCCGCCAGCCACGCCCAGTTGTTCGTGGCCCTCTTCGGGGAAGTGCGTTTCGAGTCGGGGGGGGCGCCTCTCGTCGACGGATACCTGGCCCCCAAGGCCTCCCCCTGGGCTCGCAGGGTCTCTGAGGACTTCTACTGGGCACAGGGGCTCATGCGTGATTCTGAGGATGTACTGGGAGCTCTTGGTGATCGCCCTGGCCTCGTGTGGGGCCCCGAGGTGCGCCGCGAACTTCTGAACGTCGGCTTCACTATGATACGGAGTTGTTTCTTTGGAGTGACTATCGCCCCCCCTGGTCTGAAGGTGGAGGTGGAAGGAGGGGGGGGGTCGTGATCGTGAGACGCAAGAATTTCCCGAAGTCGAAACACGTTATCGCTGCCAGTTCGAGGGGTGTGAAGAGGAGTTCGCCACGCGTAAGGGCTTGATGGCGCGCATGAGGTCCCGCCACTCGCTGCGCCCCCTGTGCCACGTGCTCACCCCCAGTAACGCGTGTATATGCTGCAGGGAGATTTTCTGGGACAGGGCATGTGCTGCTCGGCATCTTGTGCTTGCTGTGCGACGGGGGCACTGTCGATTCGGTGGGGGGAGAACGTTTCGCCCTCTTGAGCCTCCATCGTCATTGTCGTGTCCGCAGCGTGGCGTAGAAGCCTCAGGTTTAGATGCGCTATGCCAACATCTTCGCAGCCACTTGCCTGGCCCTGTTCTCCCGCGGGCCCGCCTTATTCGGGGGCACTCTGGGGCTCATGGCGGAGCTCGCGCCGCCCGAGAGGATGCAGGCCCCGTCGGAGACGAAGAGGGGGGCGGAAGAGGGCCCAGGCTCGGCGGGAAAGCCACCGAAGCACGCCAAGGGCGGGGCCAAGGGCGACAAGCACGAGAAGGGCCTCACCAAGGCCCTGGTGCTCCTCCTCACCAAGCTGTGCCTCGCCTCGGCGCGGGAGCTCGCCAACTTAGCGGGCGCGGTCTACCGGGCGTGGGAGCTCCTCGAGTCAGGCGACGGGATCACGCAGATCATGATCGACTCGGGGGTCAAGTACGACGAGATGTCCAGGCAGATGAAAGAACGTCAACGGGCAGGCGAAAAGGTAGACTTTCGCGCTCGTGGGCCCCCGCGCGCGCAGCTGTGGGCCGCGGTCTGCCTCAACCTCGCGACCGACGTGAAGAAGTTCATCCAGGGAGGCAAAGAGGACTGCGTCGAGGCGGAGACTAAGAAGTTCCACGGGTACTTCGCGAAGTACATCCAGGGCGCCGCCCCACGCACAGTGGGCAACCACGTGCTGCACTTTCGGTGCAGGAAGCACAAGGGGAGGAAGACCACCGAGACGAGTGGCTCATCGAGCCAGCAGCAGCAGACGAAGAAAGGACGCGTGACCTTCGCCTTCAGCTACAACGAGCCTGGCATGATGGCGAGGGAGCTGGTTCTCTGGTGGCTCAACTACGAGGAGGACCAGAAGAGGGCGGAGCAGCTGATAGGCCCAGCCCCGAATGGACCTCTCGAGCGAGAAGCCGCGAGGATCCTGAATCTTATCGAGAAGAAATGAATGAGGTTTCGGGTCCAAGTGGACCAGTGAGGCCCGTGAGGCCTGCGAGGGAGGAGGATAGGAGTAGGAGCAGGGGCCGTGAAAGGACAGAGGGGGATGCGAGAATATCCTCACAGCCCAACAGGGGCGCTTTTTCAGGTAGCGTGCGTTTGGCAAGTCTAGTGGCCAGGGGAGTGATTTCAGATCCCTTTCGGACCCCCGTTTTTGCCACGTATCAGAGGGCCGATCTTCCCATGATTCCCCTTGTGGTAGCGCCCAAGCGGGCCCCGCGAAGGGGGGAAGGCAGTGCTAAAGGCCGAGGGCCCAGCCAATCGTCGGTCCCTTAGGTGGCCCCTCCCAGTGCGCCTGCGTGGCGTCACGGGGGTTCGTCACCAGCGGGGGCAGTGCTGGTCCAGCCAGTGCGGGCTGCCCCGTCTCTTTTCAAGTGATAACCCGCATCCCACTAAGTCGGGTTGCGCAGAGTTCTTCGCCAGGTTTCATGGTGTGAGTCGAGCAACTCATTTGAACTTCCCGCGCATTGCTCATTGCTCATTCTACTTCCTTTCCCCCTTCCCCTCCCCCTCCCCCTCCCCCTTCCCCTCCTCCTCCTCCTCCTCCTCTTCCTCCTCCTCCTTCTCCTCCTCCTCCTCTTCCTCCTCCTTGTAGAACGAGGACCTTCGGTGGGGGCAGGGATGAGGGGCAGGTTCGGGGTTCGAGGTCTTCGGATGTTGTTGTGGTCCTTCGGTGGCATTCCAGCCTCGGGATGACTTCCAGCGGCTGCGCTTCGTCGAGAGCGTTCAAGGGGCGGGCGGATCGTATTCAACGGCCGCCAGAGAGCCGAGTTATGGCCCGACCGCCAAGGAGAAACGACAACGTGGGGGACAGGCTCAGGGGGGACTGCATCGACGTCCAATCGCCCATTGATCGCCGTCCGCAACCACTTTGGCTCAACTTTGCTCACGAGCTTCTTCAACTGTCACATCGCACTTCACACTCTCTTCAAGCTCTGTTTCCCGCCGGCGCTTCTGTTTCCCGCCGGCGCAGCTAGCTCGTTAGGATGGCGGCCCTCCATCAGGCACCGTGGGCCATATTTTTGGCGGTCATGCTCTCCCCATCGGCCCGCGCCGTCAAGATCGCCGTCGACCCCGCGTCGCGCAGCGACCTCGCCTCTGATCTCGCCCCGCGCCCGACCGCCCACGAGGGCACGGCGGCCAAGGAGGCGGCCATCAACGAGAGGGCCACCAAGGCAAACTCATGGGTACAGGACACGTCGTGGGTCGTTGATGCGAACTCGCCCGGCTATGATTCTTCGACGCTCGCGGCAAACGTAATGGATGGGAACTTCGACACCATCTGGAATTCAGCGGGGAATGACAGCTGTAGAACTCACTGTAACAATTGGTGGATCGAATTTGATCTTGGCTCGGAGTACATGTTGTACGGCATTCGAATCACAAATATGGGCGATTACGGGCATGATGCGACAGTTGTGGAGCTCGCCGCGGCATCGGCACGAGGCGGACCATTCAGCGCGGCTTTTACCACGCTCAGCTTGGTCCATTCCACTTCTGCGGTGCAGGAGTTTGGCATCAGCTATGGCGCACCAGTGCAACATGTTCGGCTGAGGGTCACGGACACCGGGAAACCACAAGGTTACCAACCATACATTCGCGAAGTCCTTTTTCAGCTTGAGCAGGCGACGACCACCACGACGCCCAGCCCGACGCCCAGCCCGACCCCAGCGGCGACCACCTCGACGACGCCGGCGGCTGGCGGCGCTTCTGTCACAGGAGATCCACACCTGCAGAATATTCACGGTGAGCGTTTCGATTTGATGAAGCCTGGCACTTACGTGTTGATCAACATCCCTCGCAAGGTCCGTGCAGAAAACGCGATGCTTCGAGTGGTGGCCGAGGCGCGCCGATTGGGCGAAACCTGCACGGACATGTATTTCCAATACTTGAATGTTACAGGGCTCTGGGCAGAGGCCAAACATGCAGGAGGGTACCACTACGACTCGTACAGTGCCGTCGAGGATTTTCCAGAGTGGTTTGCGGTTGGTAATGTTGAGGTCAAGATTGTTCATGGGCGAACGCAAACCGGGATATTGTATTTGAATTTTTTCATAAAGCATTTGGGCCGAGCTGGCTTTCCCGTCGGAGGCCTGCTGGGAGAGGACGACCACGACGATGCGGCCACGCTGCCGGCCGGATGTGAGAAGCTAGTGGCATTGCGTTCAGCTGCGCACTCCAGCTCTTCTGAGCTGTCAGTTGCCATGGCAAGCTTGTCATGACCCCGATATCCTATATGCTAGGATTCGTTCATTGGTGCCTCACGGGTTTCCTTCCCTGACGCATCTGCTTGCGGAGTCGTGTCGGCCTCGACTCTCATCTGCGTTGGACTTCCGTCGTGCGCGCCGAAGTTTCTCGATCTTTCGAGTGCGCGAGGTCTGCTTTTTGCTGGAGCCTGGCACTCTCCAGGGGCCCCGCATCCGTGCATGATCACGTATGCGCCTGGTGCTGCCGCCTTTTGTGAGTCTTCGAGAAAACAGCACGCCGTTGCGGAACAGAACAAAATCGCCCACTGATCGCCGAGAGGGGCCCGATAGCCCACTCCGCCCAGGAACGTGCGGATACGCTGTCGGGGGCCTATCGGCGATCTGTCGGCGATGCATCGCTGAATCCAAGCCGATATTACCCTCCCTGAGTCGGTCCCTGTATCCTTCCGCTCAAGAATGCCATGTCCGAGTTCTGGAGCCCCCAGCCAACCGCTGTGATGACCGCGCGCCTTGCTCGAATCGAGGTGGCATACACACATATATATATACATATATATATATATATATATATATGTATATGTATATGTATATATATATATAGAGAGAGAGAGAGAGAGAGAGAGAGACACACACACACACACATTCACACCATTCACACACACACACACTCACACACACACACACAACGGCGCACCGGGTCCGGGCGCCCGAGGCCGGCGCCGCTACCACAAATGTAGGCTCCGGGGCCCTCGGGGAGCCCGGGGGCCTCACAGAAGGGCGCCAGAAGGCGCCAAGGAGGCCCCAAGAGGCTCCAGAACAGACCCGGGACGCCAGAAAGGTCGCTCCCAGACACCCAACATGGCCTCCAAGACGGCTTCAGAAGCTCCCAGGACACCCCAAGCGACCCCCAATAGGGCCCCAAAGAGAGCCCCAAGGGGCCCAAATAGCCCCATTCCCTTCGTTAAACGTATATTTTAAACATATTGCTTGTTTTTCGCTGTCGGTCCGTGCCTGACGACCTCAGAAGCTCCCAAGACCGCCCCAATACGGCCCAGGACGCGCCTCAGAGGGCCCCAATACAGCCCCAGAAAGCTCCAGGACGGCCCACGAAGGGCCCAAGACGGCCCGGCCCGAGAGGGCCCCAGAGGAGGAAAGCCACCATCGAATTCCAAGCTTTCGACCCCAAGTGGCTCCAGGAGGCGCCGAGAAGCCCCCAAGAAGCGCCCGGAAGGCTCCCAAAAGCACCCCAAGACGCTCCAAGAGGCACCCCAAGAGAGCTCCAAGAAGCAATAATCGTCCCATTCCTGCGGGAAAACGTATATTTTTCGTATGTTCGCCTGTTGGGCTGTCATCGCGTCCAAGACGGCCCAAGGGGTTCCCAAGACGGCCTAGGAGGCCCCCCAAAGAGCTCCAAGACGGGCCACGAGAAGCCCAGGACGGCCCAATGGGCCCCCAAGACGGCCCAAGAGAGCCCCAAGACGCGCCCGAGAGGAGTCCCAGAGCAAGAAAACCACTCTCGAATTCCGAGCTTTCGGCCCCAAGAGATCCCAGGAGGCGCCGATACGCCCCCAAGAGGCCCCAAGCAGGCTCCCCAAAGCACCCCGAGATGCTCCAAGAGGCACCCCAAGAGAGCCCCAAGAACCTAAAATCCTTACATTCCTATGGGAAAACGTATATTTTCCGCATGCTCGCCTCTTGGGCTGCCTCTTGCATTGCGCTGCAGCAGAATCCAGCGAGCTGCAGCCCAAGGTAGCAGCTCATGTACAGCGCTGGCCGCTGCATCCCAGGCACTTTCTACTGAGAGCAAGCGACGCCCGCTGGCCGCCAAGATGGCCCCTTAGTGGTCCAAGACGCTCCAAGATGTTTCAAGGCGGCCCCCAGGGGCCACAAGATGCCCCAGTGGAACTCCCAAAGGCCCTCCCTAATGACCCCAGAGAGTCACAAGCGCAAAAGCCATTCAGGTTTTTCCATCTTCAGTAAATCTCACGCTCGTCTCCTTCGGATGGCTTCGGGAGAGCTTCACATGGCGCCGAAGCTCGAGACGGCCCCACAACTTCGAAGAAGATCCCAAGAGGGACCCACGCGGGCCCCAAGGTCTTCAAGGCAGCCCCAACAGGAAGATCCTCAAGAGACCCGTACATTTCAAGCCAGCCCATTTCATATTGAATATCTTCCCACGCCGGCCCTGAACAGCTCGAAGCCCCCGCATACTCCCAAGCAAGACGAGAAACGAAAAGCGAGGACAACCGAGAGAGTCTGGAGGGTTAACTAGGAAGGACGTATAAGGAATATTGGAGGACGAGGTAGGGCAAGACATGGAATGAGCCTGTCCGAAAAGCACGCGCAGCTCACAACGCCATGGCATGCGCTAGAACCCAAGCGCGCGCGAAGCGCGCGCGCGGTTCTGTATAATGCAAATATATTCTGCCCCCCCTGGCCCCCGGCCCCTCCCCGCCACATCTCGGGGACGCTCCCGGTACCGCTCCCCTGGCCTTTCCGGGGAGCCTCCACAGCGTCCCAGGAGGGTCCAAGACGCCTCCCAGAAGCCCTCAGAATTCGAAAGAATGGTCCAATACGCTCCCGAGCAGCCCAAGTCAGCCTTCCGACGGCTCTCTTGGCTCAAAGGTGCCCTCCAAGAGAGCCCAAGAGAGGTCTGATAGGTGTCACGGGACGGCCCGAAGAGGCCAAAATCGTAGATGTTCATTTATTTTTTCCAATGTTTTTGGCTTCTCGCGTTTTCGAGCTTCCAATGGTCCAAGAGCGCCGAAGAGGCTCCCAAGACCACCCAAGAGATCCTCAGGACGGCCCCAAGACGGGCCAAGAAGGCTCCAAGATTGCCGAAGAGGCGCCGAGGACATCCCCAGACCACCCCAGAACAGGCCCAAGATGGGCCCAAGAGCTGGAGCAGGACGCTTCCAGAGACCTCCGAGAGGCCTCTGGGACCCCCCAGAGGCCCCCAACACACCCCCGATCCCTGAGAGGCCCCAACGAGACCCCGACGAGGTTCCAAGAACAGCCCAAGAGAGCTGCGAGAGCCGTCCCAAGAGAGAGCCCAAAGAGGGTAAACTCGTTGATTTCCCATGTTTTTTCTAACGTTTTTCGCCTTCTCACGTTTTCCCGCTTCCAACCTTCGAAAATCGAGGATGTTTTAAACATTATCCCAGCAAAGCAACCTAACAGCGATGTGTAGGAGCATACCTGGAAGCATTCCCCTTAAGATTCAGATGATAATCCAGTTGTAGAATTCTGCTGTTCTCGCAGTCGTAGTCGCATTCGCGATGACAGTCGCAGTGGCAACGGCAGTCGCAGTCACAGCCTCAGCCTCAGCCTGCCTCAGCCTCAGCCTCAGCCTGCCTCAGCCTCAGCCTGCCTCAGCCTCAGCCTCAGCCTGCTTCAGCCTCAGCCTCAGTCTGCCTTCAGCCTCGGCCTCAGCCTCAGCCTGCCTCAGCCTCAGCCTGCATCAGCCTCAGCCTCAGCCTCAGCCTGCCTCAGCATCAGCCTGCCTCAGCCTCAGCCTCAGCCTGCCTCAGCCTCAGCCTCAGCCTGCTTCAGCCTCAGCCTCAGTCTGCCTTCAGCCTCGGCCTCAGCCTCAGCCTGCCTCAGCCTCAGCCTGCATCAGCCTCAGCCTCAGCCTCAGCCTGCCTCAGCATCAGCCTGCCTCAGCCTCAGCCTCAGCCTGCCTCAGCCTCAGCCTCAGCCAGCTTCAGCCTCAGCCTCAGTCTGCCTTCAGCCTCGGCCTCAGCCTCAGCCTGCCTCAGCCTCAGCCTGCATCAGCCTCCTCAGCCTCAGCCTGCCTCAGCCTCAGCCTGCCTCTCAAGCCTTCAGCCTCAGCCTGCCTCAGCCTCAGCCTGCAGGTGCTCCCTGCGATTCAAAATGTGGCCTCTGGGAACTCGAAGAACACGAAGTGGCCTACAGTTGGCTCCGGGCATTCAAAATCATGCCCGGGAATGGAGTTCTGGGAACTCGAAGACCACGAAGTGGCCTACAGTTGGCTCCGGGCATTCAAAATCATGCCCAGGAATGGAGTTCTGGGAACTCGAAGACCACGAAGTGGCCTACAGTTGGCTCCGGGCATTCAAAATCATGCCCAGGAATGGAGTTCTGGGAACTCGAAGACCACGAAGTGGCCTACAGTTGGCTCCGGGCTTTCAAAATCATGCCCAGGAATGGAGTTCTGGGAACTCGAAGACCACGAAGTGGCCTACAGTTGGCTCCGGGCATTCAAAATCATGCCCAGGAATGGACTTCTGGGAACTCGAAGACCACGAAGTGGCCTACAGTTGGCTCGGGGCATTCAAAATGTGGCCCGGGAGTGGAGTTTTGGGAACTCGAAGAGCACGAAGTGGCCTACAGTTGGCTCAGGGCATTCAAAATGTGTCCCGGGAGTGGAGTTCTGGGAACTCGAAGACCACGAAGTGGCCTACAGTTGGCTCCGGGCATTCAGAATGTGGCCCGGGAATGGAGTTCTGGGACCTCGAAGACCACGAAGTGTGTAATTGTTTGCTTAAAACGACTTCCGCGGATTCTTCCCGGATCCTGCCCAGACCCCCCTGGGGAGTCATGATGCTCTCTTTTGAGACAACTAGAAGCCTATCAGTCTTCGCTGTTAGGTAAAAATCGACATTCCCAGAATTGTTTTTTTTTCAAAGTGGGACTCCTACTCGAGGGTCCCACACATCCCCTGACATCTGGCCGGTATCGCGCCTCCTGGCTTCCCGGGGGGAAGACCCCAAGACGCCGAAGGACAGCCCATGACGACCTCAAGGAGCCCCCAGAACGTAAACAACGGCCCAACACGCTCCCGCGCAGGCCGAGACACCCTTCCGGCGGCTCTCCAGGCCTCCGGGAGGCCTCCAGCAGCTCCAGGGGGTCCAGAAGATCCCACACCCCTGAGGGGCCCGGCTAACAAAACCCGCGAGGCACAAACAAAAGACAGCGCCGAACAGCGCCGAGGAACTGGAAAAGCATGGAAATCCCACAATTCCTTTTTTTTCTCCAAGTTTGGCCCCCAGTCTACTCTTGCACAACAGACCACCATTCAGACCCTCCTCATCTCCCCAAAAAGAACCCATGAAGCCATTGAGGGCCCCAAATCGTTGAATACCTAAAGGGAATCCATGATTTCTGCGTTTCCGCACTTCCCCTTCTATATGATTCCGAGGCTTGAGCAGGGCCTCCAAGGGAGTCCCTGGACGCAAGAAGCGACCAACATGATATTACATTAGTTAGCCTATCAAGCCTAGCCAGAACTTGAGCGCGCGCGAAGCGCGCGCGATGGTTCTAGTATATCAGAGTGAGGGGGCCGAACGGTCATTCATTGTCCCTG